CTGCTGCGCTCCCGTCATTTGACTACCTGCATGATAATGTAGGGTATAAACCCTACGTACACTACCTACCCTACGCTACCTAGTACCTACCCTACCCTGTGCTATCTACCTTATCCTACCTACCCTATCCTAACTAGCATATTCTACCTACCCTACTGCCTGCCGTGTTAGTGCAGTTACCGGATATCACACCCTCCCTAAAAGATACGGTACGCAGATCTATTTTGAATAGGATTGGAAATGAGCAGTCGTATAACCTATTTTTATGTCGATAGGCTTCTGCTTCCGCAACACCGAGGAGATACAAGAGTATTACCGCTCTTTATGTTGTTGGGGATTGGACGATTGAGGATTTTGGGATGAAGACAAGGATTGGGGATTTTAGGATGAGGGAAAGGATTGAGGATTTTGGGATGAGCGGAAAGATTGAGGGGAGGATTGGGGCTTCCCCTCATCCCAAAATCTCCAATCTTCCAATCAAACCATCATCGCGAAACAGAATAGAAGCATGGCACTCTCACACTTAAACGAACGCAGTAGCAATCATGAGCCATTTTTGTTTCTTCTATTTTCTTTCCCCTCTTATATTTTGTTCTGGGAAAATGTTTTTTTATGGTATCGGTCGGTAAACGAAAAAACGAATAACCTGATGGTAAGCAATAAGCGAAGCGAACAACACCAAAGAAGTAACGAGTCCGTTGCCAACCTTTTAGGGATAAGGGTTTTGGAAATTTAAGGACTGGGAAGGGATGTGGTAGGGGGAGAAACGAAACACAAAGCTGTGGTTGTTTCTCGTCGGTTTTCTGTGAGGCCGTGGTATCACTCCGGTCGAGCCGATCCATTCGTGCCGAAGCTCTCCCACACTTGAACTGAGTCCTTGCTTCGCACCAACCAAATGATTTTTCTGCACTACCCTATGGTTGACTGCTACAAAATGTCTTAAGGCATTAAGTCCGCCATTCAATTGTTTTGCGTAAAGAATAAAATAAATAACTCAGATAGTATACATATATTATCAAATGGAATATCCATCGATATAATACAGTAGTACCTCATGAGTCATTCGGGATATGATATACATTTCCTTATATAGAGGGACGAGATTTAATAATCTAATGTGAGTGTCATTTGTATTGGGACCAAACCCACTCCCGTGTACCGGAACCGATCATTGTTGCTTGGCGGCGTTGGTTATTTAAATGATTATGTAGAGTGTAATACACGCTGTCTGTGTCTGTGTCATAGCCTATGTGTCTGCATGGATGTTTAAGTTTTTGAACTTGTTGTAGGCAATTGTTACTACCATGTTTAAGTTTCCTATGCTCAAGCTAATATAATTAACTAACGCGCGGTTCTTGAAAGGCTTGTCAACGCTAAAATTAACTAATCTCCTGTTAAATCTCTTGTCAAGTCATCTGATTGGTTGTTGATAATTCAGTCAACCAATCAGATGACTTGACAAGAGATTAAATTGATTTTAACATTGATCGGCCTTTCGGAAACCGGGTGTAAATTAGCGATATTAAGCTGTTTCATTTCATTCTATCACTAATCATTAGTTTAAGGTGATTTTCTCGTATGTATTTTTCTACATATTTTTTGTTTCAAGCAGTAAAAAATAATTGATTATTTGTGGCTATTCTCGCTTATGAAGTGGAGGTCCATAGCCTATCTTCTGCTACGAGCTGTAGCTTTTGATATAACTACAAACGTAGTTCTTTCCAGTTACCTATGCTGTTTCGCGGTGAAGAGTATGATGAAAAAAAGGCTGACCAGTTAGACGAGGCCCTTGGCTGGTTAAACACCTTCCTTGATGGACGGGCCTTCGTTGCTGGTGACAATTTGACCATTGCGGACATTTCTATCATCGTCACTATAACTAACCTTGAGGTAAGACTTGAATTGATAAGATGATGAACAGAATTGGTGTCATGAAGCATTTTGTTCCAATAGATTTTTGATGTTATAAGCAATCGGAGCCACCTATGTACATCCACAACACCACAGTTGCCGCGCTTTTGGGAATCAGGATTTTGGCGATTTAGAGATTAGGAAGGGATAGGGGAGGGGAAGGATTTGGCCTCTGGTAACCTCATTTTACAAAAAAAAAAAAAAAAAAAACACAACGCCAATATTATTGCAAGCCGGTTTTCGGTGACGTCGACTCATTCGTGCAGAAGCATGGCTCTCCGACATTTGGACATTGCGATTAATTGTCAATATACTGAAGTAAAGATAACGATAATTAGGATTTTTTAATCGACGAATAATACGCGAACCTATTTACAAACCCCCGTTACACACAAAAATATACCACGGCCCAACTTAAAGAGGCTGTATGTGAACTGTGACCACAGTTATTGAGTGAAGTGAGAAAAATAATATTGGTTTACCTTTATACAAAATAATTGAATATAAATACCAAATAGTAACATTGACATATACTCTGCATACCTGCAAGACAATACAACATATTTTATGCATAATTTTTCTGCTCCGCACAAAGACAGGAACATTTCTCATAAATTCCTTATAATCGATGACAATAAATTGAATAATCCACTTCTTACCATTCGTGCCATAAGTGTAAATGTTGATGTTTGTGAAGATTCTTGGAAAACTTGTATCAGATGTCAAAAGTCAAAATCATTTATTTCAATTAGTCCACAGTAAGCACTTTTGAACGTCAAGCAAAAAAGGAAAAAAAGTATTTCAAGAGGTTTAAAATTAAGCGTGTCAGTCTGTCCGTCTGTTTTTAGTGAAGCTATTTGCTCGTTCCGAAGTGTAGATTCCTATGGAGAAGAACGAGCAAGAAACTTCATGGTTACTCTTTTTAAATCAGTTTTACAATACATTTCTTTGTTATATGAAGGGATAGAGATACTAAAGTAACATCTGAATGCAAAATACCTTTCAAGTATGCGTTGTGTTCTCGTACAGGACAAACAGTGATATTATACCTACCTACGCAACAGTTTATTGGGGAAACTTAACGAGCACTTGTATTACGAGAGAGAACTCTTATAGTTAGATTGCGATTTGTCTACGGTATTACTTAATATTTTTAAATATGACATATTTAATGCTAAAGTTCGAGTTTTGAGACAGCGTGATAATTTATGTTCAAAGCTTTCTCTGTATAAGAATATACCTTTGCTTAGCAATTAGCACTTATAGAGGAGGCAGCAACCACTCGACTTAGTCCAAGCCATGGTGCGGAGTGACAGGAACTAGGAAGCGCCCTCCTCTTTCTGCAATGGGATTGCAGGTACAAGCGTAATAACATACTCTGGTCCTGGGTTAGAGCAGAGGAATGAACGGAGGAGTTTTTAATCAGTTAGCAAGAAAGCCCCATTTTCTAGTTAACTTATATGCTGATGATGTAAATCATCTGATGCTCATACTGCAAGCCTTCCTACTGTTCTTTAGCCCAAAATTGGGATTCGCTCTACATGATTGTTCTAAATGCATGTTTTGTGTCTTTTCTTTGCAATTATATATAGGTATTTATGTATTGTATATTATTGCGCTTGACCCACAATACCGGACGGAATACCGAGCTGGAAGCCCATATTTAAATAGGTATCTATATATTTAATATATGAATGTAATACGACGATTTACTAGGTCACTTCTGATTACCATTATAGTGCCATTTGGTATCGATTTCAAAATGCCTCTGATTACACTTCTGTAATAGTACTGAAAGAAATTATCCTTGAATACACCTGGTATTTTCCAGGCTGGAGAAAAATAGCTTTATATCGATTTGGCCTTGGCTGAATGAAGGAAAGTTTCATGATATCATGGAAGATACGCGGATTTTATGAGCTTTTCAAGATAAAAAAAATAAATGTTTTTTATAGATGCCTACTGCGAAAGTTTATAAAAATGTTATTTAATCTGAGTACTTTATGACTACAAGGTATTAAATTGCTACTTTTGCATTATTGTTTAGAAAATGTTTTATTACGTGATATTACGTGATGTCAAATGGTGTTTGTCATAACGTCCTGTTAGTTCTACAAAATTTTGACTTATAGTTAAAAAAGGTCGACGATTTAAAAATTATCAAATTTATCTTTTTCACGTTCGTGACACTACATGAGAAATTGTAAACTGTCAGAGGAAAAAAAACCATTTTTATTTTTATTTTGAGAGCGGAAATTAATCAATGAATTCTACCCGTTACGAGATTAAAAATCAAATTCTAACTGAATAACAACACAGGACAACGAGCAGGCTATGCTCGTTGTCCTCTTCCAAGCCGGGCTGAGCTGCCACGGATTATTGCAAATTATCTAAAAATTTTTGTATAATTCAGTTTTTTTTTTGTTTCCAGGCTTTCGGCTATGATATGAGCGGCCATCCAAATCTAATGAAATGGTTCGAGAGAACCAAGAAAGCTCTAGAGCCTTATGGATACGAAGATGTCGACGTAGCGGGTGCCAAGATGCTGGCAAATTTCTTGAAGAAAGATTAGAAAATTCACAATTTATTTTTATTAACTTACTTGTTATGAATGTTTAGATTATTTTTTCCACAAATACACAAGTTTCTAATGTGCATTAAGTATTTATTTATTTAATGTATGTTACGTAGGTTGTTGTTTATTATATATTAAAACAGATCTGTAATTTATTTAGACTTTCATTGATTTAAACTATTGACAACATTACATGATACGATCCTAAAAGCTTTAGCTTAAAGTTTTGTTATTAAAAACGACAGAGTTTACTAAACACTACTTCAAGTGCGATGTATTTGGAAAAATTGTTATGTATACTAGTAAGTATTCGCTGAAGTGTAGAATAAGCAGCAGTACTAGGATAGCATAAATTCATATAGGTGATATATCACAATAATTAAACGAGGCGTTAACCATTCGAGAAACAAAGCACGGTAGTAAGGAGGAGCACAGTATGAGCGACGTCCGGTCGCACGAGAACGGACCGTGGACCTATTGAATTGAGGTAGGAATTTCTATACGGCATAACAATGCGTCGGCGCATGCAAGCGGGTCGCGCGCCGCGCTACCGTTCTACGTTTTCAAAACAAAACAGCCGTTCGATTGTTCCAGTTTGAAAAATCCACCACAAAACGATCAAACAGTTCGCAGTATTCACAAACAACCAGCAACAAGTGAAACGAAGAGTGTGCTGTGCTCGCGTTGTCGTCTCCTGGCGTTGGTTCGCGTAACACGATACATACGATATTCTGCATCGTCCTTTTGAACTTAAAATGTGGTGGGAGCAGTGCTGCGGTTGACATGTGTTGTACTAGTTGACACAGCTGTGGATTGTGCTATCATGATGATATACATAGTGGGTATTTTTGTTTTACCTAAAACATCATTGTTATTTCTAACGTGGTCGGTTCGAAAACATAAGTGTCGTTCAAGACTGCTCTAACGTTGTTAGTGTATTGCATACCGTGATAAGGCAGGTAGTTGGTTGCGATTAAAACTTCCGTTTACAGTGCCCTGTTATTTTAAAACTTATGCGCTTGATAAGTCGAAGTAAGTGTAAATAATCTAGTGATAGTAAAGTTACTGAATAAGTCAAACATTCAATTTTATGTCATCTAAATTTTGTGAGTTAATTAAAACATGTAGATAACTTCCTTGTTCATAATTATGATATCATCAAATTGGGAATAATACATATTACAAGTTTTTATTCTCACATCTTTAATTTGGTATGGAACATTAATGGTAAAAAGAACGTATCAACTGCAATGGCTTATGATATAAAGGAAGTAGTAATAAAAATTGTCACGAATAACTTGCACCAATTCAGAATTAGTTGTTACTACGTGTGGAGTCCACTAGGCAAGATAGACAAGGAAGAATATGTGTATAGTCATTATTCAACGTAGGTTACTGCACTTTGGTTATTGTTAGATCATTTCAACACGATATTTGATACGGCAGATACATTTAACATTGGCCTTAAGCTCGCTATTGAACTGTATCATAAAGTATAACGCCAGTCACACATCCTGCCATCAAAGACGCTATGTTCAACAAACCAACGATTGTATTTATAAACAATGCTTCAAAGACACACCATAATAAAGCGTTTGTTGTTCCAGCAATTAACATGTCTCCTAATAATAGCCTCATCGTCGTTAGCTGTACGGTTTCGACTGAATCCTACGTCAGATATGTCAGCAGATGAAAAACTGCAAAGGGGAAATAAAACGCTAGATCAATCGGATGAAAGCGGACATGAAGTAGACACAGACATTGATGAAGTAAAGGAAAAAAAGTTTTTAGATGATGCTATGAAAACAGTATTAGATCCTAATACGTTAATTGTTAAGGCAAATGATATTGTAGAAACGTTTAAATACCAATTAGATGAGTTAGATAAAGGTAACGCAAGTCTCGACGTGTTTATGGATGAGATGGACAAATTAAGTTTGGATGTTTGTAAAACATCACAAGACGCTCTTTGGTCTTATGTTACTGATATAAATAATGAAACGAAGAAGAATAAAATGGTAAGGATCGACTTATATCGAATGTAATAACAAGATGAAATTATATCCATTTGCTTATTAATATGTTCCTGGTCATACTTTCCAGGTCAGAATTGCCGCCGAAGAAGACGAAATAAAGAAGCAGTATTGGAATATATTGAAAAAGAAATATTTGAACGATGAACATGCTATGAATGATCCAAAGATGAAAAGAAAGATTAGGATCATTAAGGAACGAGGAACGAATGTGCAGATGCCGCAGAGTAAAGTAAGTTTTTTACTACCGGTGCAAGCGTAATACGCACCAGTCTGGAGTAGGAAAAGGAACAGGGTGGTTTTTACTTAGTAAGAGACTGACACTAATTTTCGCCCGACCCAAGGCTAGAAGAGTTATTTGATGATTTTTCATTCCTCAAATATTTATTACCTATTAGTTTTCCCAGTTTGTGTTTTGAGTTTTGTTAGGTTTTGCATCATTTAGTCAACAAGGCAGAAATATTTTTTATTTTTTTAATGCACAATTCAAAATGGTTTACGACTTTTTGTTGACAAGAAATTTCTGTATCAATTTTCGAGCTATAAGTCTGGATTCCTTTCGCCTGTGGAATTATTTGTCATGGAGTTTTAGGGTGAACAGATATGGATAAGTAATTTGTTTTGTATAATGTATCAGTATGGTAAATATTGCAATTGCACCTATTAAGGTGTTGGGAAACAACAATATCTGGTCTGGCAAGGAAATCCTAGTTCGAAAGTTATGCTTTAAGGCACGCATTAATACAAAATTATAGTTCCTCTCTAACCTTACAGGTCAAACAGCTCATCTTGAACTATAAACTATGTGTTAGCAAAATAGCAACTGCTAACACCTGAACTGTCTCTTAGTTTACATGTCATTTGGTCGATCCCCTCTTCATGCATTAATTTGATTAACTTATGTTACTCTTGTTCCGGCACCAATTTAGGACACTTACGTGTTATTTATATCGTTACAGTTCAAAGTAGGTGCAGAGAATTTCTAAAGGTCGCAGTGTTTTAAAATTATTGTGTCACTGGTTTTCAATGAATTTGTACAGAGTCTAAAGTCTCATAGACGAACGAGCACTAGCGATCGACCCCTGCTGATACTAAATTTGTCCAGAATTTAATTATTATTGATGTATAAACATAAACTTCGAGAGTTGCCAACAACTCGATTCAAGAGGGCATTACGTAGATGGAATTGAGAATCCTTTCTACTCTTTAAAAGAATTTTTACAAAATAGTTGCGAAAGTAATATTATTACTGAATAAGATATACAAAGCTTGTTATCAAACATTTGCATGTCATTATCTTATGACTGAATGCTGAACTTATTGATGTTTTGTAACACCTTTTATGTAAGTGTGTTAAAGAGCAAATAAATCCTTTGAAAAAGACTTTGAATTTGAAATATTCTTCTTTAATAACTTTATCTATTAAAAGAGACTTTTATTTCACCATGCATTGATATTCAGTAAAGTTTAATGGGTTCGGCCATATTGCTATAAGGAATTAAGTAAATGTTACAAAAATGTTAACGAAGGGTTTACTCGCATTTACTAAATACAAGAAGCAAAAAAATGGAAAATAAAAAGATAGCTAGCAAGAACCCCTCAATAAAAACGCACAATAAACGTATTATACTAATAGGTATATTCTTAATTACAGCAAAGAGAAGAAATCGATACGATGCAAAGAATTTGGAGCCGCGTTACAGTGTGTGCCTACAATTCTAGTTGCGGTTCGGAAGACTCGGTACGAACGATGAGTGGTCAGTCAGTATTACTTATATATATCAGGGTTTTAATGAAATTAAAAAATATTTCCTAAATACTACATCATTTAGAAAGTATTTTAGTTTTTTTAAGAAGATTTAATATGTTACTGTGGAAACAGTTCTATTTTTATTGAACCAATCCAAAAACTTAACACGAATTTAACTTACCCAAATGGGGACTCATACACTCGGGCACACTGGACTAACTTATTGCTTTACTACAGGTCTATAAATCATACAATTTATTTATAAAAAATAGGTTAATTATAATTTATAAAAAATAAGTTTAAACAAATCATTTCATTAATTCGTAAAATAATTGTCTTGTAAACTGCTTAGTGCCACCGCTTATCATTTTTAAACGACGAACGAATCAAATTCGTAATGGCAAAGGGACTGACTTTTCTTTCAGATGTGATATCGATCTTTAAAACAAGCAACGATACAAAAGAACTGGCTTATTACTGGAAGGCTTATCGCGATACTACTGGCAAGAAAATACGTCCAATATTCAAAGACTATGTTGTTAGAATGAACAGAGTTGCTGAGTCAGAAAATTTCACTGACGCTGGAGATATGTGGAGATTTGCATTCGAAGACGATAATTTTGTTAACACAGTTGATAGGATCTGGCGGGAGATCAAGCCTTTTTATGACTTGCTACATGATTATGTCAGAGGAAAACTGAAATTAGCATATAGAGATGTTTTTAGGAGCAACGACAAATTAATTCCAGCTCATATTTTAGGTGAGTTAATAATAAACAAACAAATAAAATCACATCCAATAAGAAGCATGGACAAACAGCCTGAAATAAATATCATAGCAAAGTGTAGAACGAACAAAAACGAAATTCTGAGTATGATTTTACTTGTTTTTTTTCTTTTTCCTTAAATAATTCTCTGTTGTTGTCTTTGCTATTATTCTTTAACTATCGACAATAATAAGGCTTAATGATTTCAGGCAACTTATGGGCTCAAGAATGGCAGGCAGTATATCCAAAAGTAGTGGCGTATTCTGACTACATGAGGCCTAAACTGCCCGCAAACGAGACAATACACTCTAAAGACTTGTTCGATGCTGTGGATGACTTCCATCAGTCTCTAGGCTTTGAAAGTGCAAAGAATTCGTACCAGGATGTCAAAGAGACAATGACTACTGCTAATTGTTTGCCTTCCAGTCATGATATGTGTGATGGCGTAAATTATAAGTGAGTAGAAATAATAGGAACACTTAAAGAATATAGAATTCATTTAATAGGGATTCAGTGTAGGCCAAAATTATTAGTGTTTTTAGTTAAGCATTCGACCCAATAATTTAGCAGATAAATTTAAAATTTACTATCGTGTATCTCGATGGCGGGAATTTGCAATATGCAGTCTGCTTCCAGATTAAACCACCCTTATACTCGCTTTGTCATTGTCGGTTTGGTGAAGTTGTAAACAGCCTCGGATACCACGGCTTGTCATGATTTTACCCTTCGTGCTTTCGTCTCCATCAGTATGTCAGCTAATTCAGAATCAAAGACTTGGTACGTGACGATGGCAAAAACCCCGTCAAATAAAAACCGAAATTTAGTTCCATCCGGGTGTTCCTTGACATTTCTCAAGTTTTTTTGGGGCGTGGATAATACTGGTTCTGTTGTAACGTTTTTGATAGTCGTTTGGTCATTTTTTTGTTAGAGACGACGACATTTTTCTATCATACCGATCAGTTCAGAATCTTTCTAATTTAACTGGATCACCTTGGATAGCTGATTTTAAATTTGCAAAGAGTTCAATAGTTGTCAAGTCATGATTATATAATGTTACTGTGTATAGAAGTTACTCTTTTTTATAATTCAACCTTCAGAATCTAAAACATTCTACATTCGTTTAATTAATGTAACTGTTCAGTAAATACGTGACTAAAACTTGTTGCACTACTTGCTTTAGGAATTGTTTTATTTTTAAGATTAATATTTTCATTTACTTCTTCATCGCTCCGAACGTTTGTCTATAATTCAGTTATCTTTTCGGTTTTTCGTTTGCGTAGAGTATTTCCATTAATTTCTTTGTTTTAAACTTATTAATCGATATTGCTTATATTTTGTCTCTTATTATAATTATGTGATTTTTATATTTAGTTTATACTGATTGAAAATCTTTCGAGTATCAAAACACAAAAATATTTTAATACCTACCTACGGGCTGGTCTATAGGTATCTATAGGACAAAACCTTGATTTTATGGTATTCTTTAAGTGGACAGTTAAGTACTTTGTAAATGTTTCCCTAAAAGTAAATTTCTTTTTCAGAATTAAATGGTGCGGTGAAAAGGTGACGGATGTAGTAGTGGGTTTATCACGGGCTGCAAGACTGCTTGGACATGTTCAATATTTCAAGCATTACAGAAACCTTCCTCCTTTGTACAGGGATGGACCGAATCCAGGTAGGAATATCAAGCAAAGTTCATTACCCATTTTCTACGAAGCGTCATTCCAGCCCATTCAGGCCAAATCATGGAAGAAGATATTTACAGATGGAAGAAGTTTTAAATTGAAAGTTTTGATTGCACGGTTTGCGCAGTAGCGAGTTCAAGTCTCGCACGGAACATCTCGAAATCCTCCAATTGATTAAAGATTGAATAAACTTAGTTGTGACAGTTTATTGTTAGAAGTGATATACAAAAAACCACCTTCTTTTCCTAGAACAATATGAAGAATCTTAAATATTCTAGATATTGTAGGTATAAAGTAAGATTTGAAATTGATAGATCCCTAACTAGACATGGATATTGGAACAGCTATTAGAAAACTTGGGAAAACTTTATACTAGTGGCTGTTAATTAATCGTCTAGACAAGAAAACAGAAAGTGAAACGGATAACTTTGTTGCAAGTGCGAGTATTTACACTACAAACTCTTTGGTTGTAAGCCAATTTAGAGATTGTACCACAGTGTAACGCGTAATTATGTGGATTTAGTTCGTGATGTTGTAAGTTTTTCTTGGTTGCGTTTCTACCTTAAATAGACATTTACATTGGGTAGTTCAATTCTTACGTTTAGTTCCTTTTAATGGCTTGAAGACATAAGGTAAAGTAATAATGAAATTTTTGATGTTGTTATTTTGAACATCGGAAGTCTATGGAGTTTAATTAAAATTTTATCTCATATGGTTGAAATGGTGTAATTTATAAGAAAATAATATCAATATGATTATAAACATTAGTGTAAAGCTAAATTTGGATACAAAGCATGCATGAATGAATTACGCCAGATCAGAATAATGCAGCATTAAAAATAAATAAATAATCGTGTTTATCAGCGTTCCACGATGCAATCTCCGATATCGTCGCCGTTCAGTTGACCTCGCCAGAACACTTGAAAACCCTGAACCTAGTGAAGGTCGATACAGGTCCAGAAGTGACGCTGAACCATCTACTCTGGATGGCCTTGGAAAAGTTTCCATTGATGGCCTACGCGTATGTTTTGGACAAATGGCGCTGGGACGTCTTTGGGAACAGCAGTTTGGAGCATTGGAACCAACATTGGTGGGATTTGAGGTTAGTATCGCCTAAAAAGTAGTTGCACTATAAAATCTTTTAATCAACAGAAAATCCTTTAATGAGTTTGAGTATTGTAGACTATGGTTTAAGGTTGTAAGTTCAGAATACCTATAGAATGGGAAGCAAGATGACAAAGCTAGGAAAATAGAAAAAAGTGTAGTCAAATTTTAATTGCGGCATGTTTTCATACATTACTTCAAGTCCGAGACATGGCCTCTGTGGCTCATTAGTTTTTGTAAATTGTTTTTATTGTGAAATTGTAGAATTCTGCCAAAAAAGTGAAAGAAGTATAAATATTCAATCAGAATATTTTAATCTTGTGATTAAAATTAAGTTTATGATGTTTCTTAATTTGATTGGCTAGATGCATTAATTAAAAATGTTAATCGATAGACAAAGCAATTTGAGCATAAAAAATACATTTAGGCTAGTTTGTTGGAGTCGCTATTTTCTTGTAATAGTTCTGAAAGTTAAATACAAAGTACAAAATAATTTTTGCCCTACCAAATGTTACGGGATAAGCTCCCTTCTGGACTCTCCCGCCGACTCAACGCCTCAGGACCGAGGTTGTGGAGGCATTTTTTGTCGCTCTAATCCCTGACTTCGAAGGGGTTACACCCTCCAACCGTGACTCTGTCCCCTTATGTGGTGGTGTTACGGCTTCGCACCGCACGATGTTGATGTCGCACTGGTCAATTGGCTAATGCCTGGTGCTTACCGGACAAAAAGGTTTAGTAGGTACACCCGGGCATTTCTTCTCTCTAAATTCGAACTTGTTGTTGTCACGTTCGAGCATACAGTGTGTGTGCTATGCTCGTGCTGTGCACTGCTGTGCGCTCTGGAAAGCGATCGGCGTCGGCTACTAATCACGCATGTAATTGCTGATATTTATGGATATGATTTTTTTTTATATTTGTCTTTTTACTTTATTTCACCAGTTATTAAAACTAAGAGTTGGCTAGCAAGAATGTCTATTAGAATTAATTTTAAGCCCTGCTTATGTCTTTGTTGCAAAAGTTAAATTAATAAATAATATAAGTTTAATGTGACCTTCGAATATCAAAAGTCTCTTGGGGGTTATAAAGGTATCTGTTGATGCCAAAATCTAGCTAAATATGTAAATGAAAGTATCCAACGTTATTCCTAATTGCACTCTGTGATTATTTTATTAGCAAGTCTAACCGTGTGCTTATGATCCATTTAGAGGCAATGGTTAACGGTATGGAATACCTGTTTATTAGCATATCTCCTAGTACCATCATTTTGCAGTAGGTCACCGTCCGGTGTTAGTAAAAGTATATTTAGCAGTCACTTACTTCTGTAACTACTCGCCGTTAATTGATGCAAATTTATTTATTTAATTGGCAGTAATGCTTTTGGAATTAATTAGCTAAAATCTATTGGTTACATCTTGTAGAATAATTTAAACCATTATAATTTTTAAATTAGGCGTAATCGCAATTTCATTTTTACATTGAAGTATTTTAGTGAGGATAATCATTAAATATCTTCTCCGGCCCTGAGTTCGTTCATCCTCCTGCTCCGATCCTGGCCGCGTTAAATCATTGGAGTCTTAAGAGTCCATAAAACCTAAAGATTAAAATTAATTCCTTCCGTTAATGTGATGACATTGGAAATATGAATTAAAGAATTAATGCTTTTCATTTCAACGCGAAAGATTGGAAATATGAATTAAAGAATTAATGCTTTCAACTATTTAACAAAATAATATAAAACTGAGGTAAATTAGGCATATACATTATAGTCTGGAAAAGCACAAACGGCACTTTTTACCCTACCATTTTGGGAAAATCCTTGAAAGCTATAAAGTATTTCTGTAATGTGTCTTTACTTGAAAATTACTCCATACATTTACCTAACATTGCCCTTTTTGTCTCAGGGTCAAGGAAACAGGAGTGTCTCCACCAGTACTCAGAAATGAAACGGATCTCGATCCTGCTGCAAAATATCATGTTGTATCCCACGTCCAATATATAACGTAAGTATTTACAATTTAGTGTATAAAGCAGGGATGTTAGGGAGCTCCGGTAACGTAACCGAAACTATCGGATATCCGATATAAAAAATATACGTAACCGTAAGCGAATCCGAAATAAAAGTTTCGGATAATATCGGATAGGGGCGGAGCCTAATTGAGAGACGTTATCTTTGAATTTTACTTTTAAAATTCCCTGATAATATCCGTAACCTTATAATAATAATTCCTGTCATCATTGTTATAATGTTGTCATCATCAGACTATAAGTGCCCACTGCTGAGCAAAGACCTCTGATCATACGAAGAAGGTTAGAGCATTAATCACCACGCGTTCTCAATGCGGGTTGGCGATTTCAAACTTATAATTAGTAATTAAAGTCCAGGTTTCCTCACGATGTTTACCTTCACCGTATGTCAGTGGTGTCTAAATAATCATAGAAAGTAAATATAACTCGGAAAAAGTCACATTGGTACTTGCCAGGTTTCGAACCCACACCCTCATGCATGAGAAGCAAGCTGCTTAGCCTCCGGGCCACTACGACATATAATTCCTATATCCTTATCCAATTCGTTTTCGAAATTTAATATCCTTAACATTCCTAGTATAAAGCTTGTTTAGTTGACAATTACTATAGGTGAAAGTACTAATGATTGGATATACAGGGTGTAAAAAGACACTTAACGAAGCCGAAAGCCACGTATTTTACCCATTATTTGGACATTTTTTTCTTTAAGACCATAGCTGGGACTCCACGGGTTCTAGAGATATTGAAGGTCAAAGATGCATTCTTAAATTATTTTTTTTGCGCAATCGAATTCTCAGTATTATTACAAAACTTTTTTACAAACAAACATTACCTGAATTTTCGATTTTTCTAAATAAATTACGCATTTGAAGTTACAAACAGTAATGTACGTAATAAATAAACGCAGACCCGCACAAAAAACATCGTGCATCTCAGTAGGATTTTTATTTTACAGAATTGTTTTGTTGTTGCGAAGTAAAACGTCGACCTACGTACTTATCACAGCGTTTTAATGCTAAGCTGTGAACCTACGCATACAATGACACGAAGCCCGTTTGCTTTACATTGCGCGCAATTAAATTTTTTTTTTTGATACCTAAAAATAAAAGTCGTTTCTCAGTGATAATTTTAGCGTTAAGCTACTTAGTTAGAACTGCAGTATGCGTAGTTAACGGCTTCGTTAAGTGTCTTTTTACACCCTGTATAGGAAGATAATAGCCGAGACGAAGTATAATGCTTGTGGTAACTTACGTTCGCTTTCGATTCAAGGTAATAGATTTTATGAACTGTTTAGGTAATAGGTGTCTTGTTCGTGGTCACACATTTATCAGTGGCAAAGGGCATCAGTAATAATTTGATGCATAACACAACATAGTATAGAAGTTAATAGAATAAAATATCTACCTATGTATGCTTAAATCTTTAAAACTACGCAAAGGATTTTGATGCGGTTTTTTAAATAAATAAAATTATAGAAGATTTAGTTTTATATGCATAATGACATTTATTTAATAGTGAAGATTTTTAGTATAAAGCCTGGGCGGGTCGCTATTAAGTAACATACATTTCCCAATGTGATCGTTTCATCTTATTTTACAATGAAACGTATATTAACTCTTTTTTACCATTCAGCTGTTCAATACTACATCAGACAAAAAAAAAAACAAATAAAGTCTTAATTTTTTCGACCAAAATTTATAAATTATTTTTTAATTTTGTTTTCAGATATTTAATTTCCCACGTATTGGAGTTCCAGATTTTACTATCGCTGTGTAAGAAAGCGAATCACACAGGACCTTTACACGAATGTTCTATCTATGGCGTAAAAGAAGCGGGGAAACTTCTCAGGTAAACATTTTCTTTTAACCCATTAGATTTAAATACATGAGAAATTATTAAAATTGATACTTTGTGCAACAATGTTATGAAAATGCGCAGATAGACCGTACCGAATATTTAAATGTTTTGGCACGAATGGTCGGCTCGACCGGAGTGATACCACAGCTTCACAGAAAACGGGCATGAAGCAATACTTACGATATGTTTCGCCGTGTGAGTGAGGTTACCGTTGGCCCTATCCTCCTCCCCATATTCGGCATCCTCTATCCTCAAATCCCCTCTCCCCTAAGCCCTAACACCCTACAAGAGGAAAGCAATGCATTTGTATTCGACAAAAACAAAGTTGTACTTCACAACTTCAATTAACGCAATATTCAACAACATACCACAATATCAATACACACAGAATTCAAATTCAAATTCTTTATTAACATTCCTTAAGTCAATAGACAGTTGGTACATTTTAGGGTTGAGACTCAATATGGACCCAGTAGGGCACAGCTTAAAGAATTTATGCAGTAGCATAATTTAACAAATTATGATATAACAAAAACATTTTAGTTATTCCATTAATACGTTAACTATTACCCGATGATTTATTTGCCTTCAATCATGATCTTAAGGTGCAAAGTACCATTTTTGCTGGTTGAGTTCTTACTAAACGTACTAGTTAGTACACGTAACATTGTACCGAATAAGGATATTTATAAATGGAAATAGCAAAAAGCACTTTGATTTTTTCCATGATAGCATTTTTTATATTTATATACATAAACATGTGATAGGGGATCCCCATAGGAAGCAAAAAGCAGACATCCTTATAAGAACAAGATGTAAATTTGTAAAATCAATAAATAATAATAATGATATGTTTACATTACATTTTATTATGATATAGATAAAGTAATGTCGTCACATTTTCGTGGAAACAGGAAAAATCTTCAGCACTTAGAGTTTATGAGCAAATTGATAATCTGTATTTTAATGGCGTGCACGATTCTGATCTTTGATCGTAAATGCCTTAAGAGGCATCGCATGTAGTTAGTATTTTATTGCATGTATGCATTCGAAATTAATTAGGCAGCAAATTACTTTTCCTTAGCGCCAAGTGTGACCTATTTTAAATTAATTTTGCCTCTAAATGAATTACATTCTGCTCATTCAATAATTAACCTAATACTGGAGTTGCAGTTAAAGCGCAACAATGTACCGAAGCCTCGATCAGGAGCAGGATAAAATACGATGTGGTTTTTAGTCAATAAGTGATACTAGCGCTCGCCTGGGAGATATTTAATGATGTTTCCTTCTAGCAACTAAAAATAAAACCCAATCCTTAGCAATAGTTTTTAGGACAAAATCATTACTTAGGAGTAGTTTAATTAATTATAAAGTATAGATATCTAAGTATGGCATGTTTGATTACCTAAGAAATTTTTTATGCACTTTTGACATATTCTATTAACAATTCAGTAATATGCTCACAAAAACCTAAGTGCTGAAGAATAGGGAAAAAATAACAAAGAAGTTTGTATTTCAGTATAGTGACATTAACTATTATTTCAGCGACGGCATGGCGCTGGGTGCAAGTGAGGACTGGAGAACAGTACTACAAGCCATAACTGGTGAAACTGAGCTATCCACTGAGGGTATACTCCAGTACTTTGCAGATCTTCAGAAATTCTTAAAAGAAGAAAATGTCAAGCTTGCTGCACTAAATGGAGACATGGACCAAAGTGCACCAATCATTGTCGGCGCCATAGTAGTGTTATTGACAATTCTAATCATCGTGCTTTATTGTGTAAAGAAACACGATTTTGGTAGCAAAGTGTTCTCCACTTGCGGTCTCAGTAAAAACGGATCTTTGGACATTGTGACGAACGAACTACCTCAAGGAAAGACCAATGAGGTAGATGGCATAAGCGAAGATAAGGTTTAAAATTCAACAGTAAAATAACCTTAACGTGATTAGGTCTAGAGGTTTTATTTCTAAATGAAAGTATTAGCAAATAAAGAAAAAATCAACCCAGATGAGGTAAATCAGTATTTAGTTGTTATGGTGCCAGTGATTATACAAAAGTTACGATTTGATTACATAATAAGATAAGATTTATATTTATGTATGTAAAAGATTTAGTTTATTGTTTTAGCAATAAGTTTTAACGTCTTGGGTATGATAATTACGAATAAACTTGGTTGAACGAATGTTCATTTTTAATTGTCTTTGTTATTTATTTAGTTAAAAACCCTTTAAATATCGCAAGGTCTGATAATTCAGGGGATGGAATGAAGTATCAAATAGTCATGGACTAGGAGCACAGAAAATGAAAATGGATACAAAACTGCATGAAAATATGCTACAACCTGGTCTCTTTTCTTGTAACCCATAAAAACGTTCTGTCAATACATAAAGCTAAACATGTTTACAAACTAACACTAAACATATACCTCATTATCATCATCCTGATGTCGTCCACTGCTGGACATAGGCCTCTCCAACTGCACGCCACTGAGCTCGATGTTCAGCTCTTCTCATCCAACCACTGCCAGCCACCATGCGGATTTCGTCAGACCACCTAACTGGAGGGCGCCCTAAACTACGTTTGTCTAGACGCGGTCTCCACTCTTGAACACGTTTACCCCAACAGTCATCGGTTCTTCGACAAATGTGACGTGCCCACTGCCACTTCAATTTGCTAATCCTTTAGGCTATGACGATAACTTTAGTTCTCTAACGGATCACCTCGTTTCGAATACCATCCTTCAGAGAGACTCCAAGCATAGCCATTTCCATAGCTCGCTGCGCGACTTTAAATTGGTGGATGAGTCGTACTGTAACTGTCCATGTCACAGCTCCGAATGTCATGTCATCACTGACAGGACGCACTCATTGAAGACTTTTGTCTTCAGGCTTGGCGGTATCTTTGACGAGAATACCCGACCGAGTTTCCTATATGCCGCCCAGCCAAGCTGTATCCTTCTACGAGCTCTATATACCAAGGCTCGAAGAAATGTAGATACATGATAATAACCATATAAATATTATATTATAAATAAATATTTTTAATATGTTTAGTAACTTTGTCTCACTTAAGAAAAAAATATGTGCAAACCGAATTCAAGCAAAAGTTGGTACAAAACGTATTGAGGACGACTATTTTTTATGATTTTAAAACTGCTGGGGGTCATTTAACTCTCAAAAATTTGACGTACAAGGTGCCAAAATCTGTATGAGCGAATAACACTGCCGACAAAAGAAGGTCCAATGAAACCTATTTATCAATAGGCAATGTCCTGCATTAAATAGAATGTATAGATCTAAATAGACTATCAAATTACAATCAGCTGAACAGGGACACGTTATAATATGTCATGGTCTACCTGTTCCAATCATTTAGGTCTGCTTTGTTAAATTAGAACTCAATGCAAGGATACCTGCGTCTGTAGTACTATGGCAGATTAAATTACATTGGCATATTTTTTGTCTCTCAACATAGTTGCATAGCAACATAGCAACAAAAACAAAAGTATAAAGGGTTATAAAAGTATAAAGACTTCTTGGGTTTTTTTTTTGGGGCATGAATTATCATTTAATTTCTCACGCTTTGGTCTACTGGACTCTTACTGATAAAAATCATCCAGTTCCTTCTCCTGCTCCGAGCAAGGGCCGTAATCAAACCCAGCTGGACATAATAAGCCCTAGTAGACCCTATATGTCATGGTCTGATATCTTTTAGAGTTGCTGTCCTTAGACCTGTGTCTACGATGGCAAAAGTAGGTATAAAGTTGAAATGTGACGAATGTTTGTCATCAATTGAAAACAGCTGGACAGATTTGAATGTAAAGCATTTTAGACAGAAGTGGAATATTTTTTTATATCTGTTGTAGTTTTCAACGCGACTCAAATCGCGGACAAAAGCAATAACTTTTATTAGTTAATAGGTGCAAACTAGCGCAATCCTAAAATCGAAGATAATTACATACAATATGATGGTGGTGAACGTAACTACCATTGCATTGGTCATGGACATGTAATTTCAGTTGGAATTACATTTAATAAACACCAGCAAGCCTTGGAACTATTTTGTTATTTTCATTCGCGGAACAAACATATTTTTCCCGAATTTGCTGAATGAAGTTATTGTTGTCAAATTGATATTAAACAATCGATCGTTCCTCGAGTTCGTATAAGCAAATGATTGCTATTAACGGTCAACGATGTTCGCGACTGGCTGTGGACATCCGCTCGTAGCCGACTTGTCGAAATGGTTAAGAATGTGAGCCAGTGTGAACTAACTGCAATCACCTAACCGTTGCCGCTAGTGACGAACGCGCGCACCTAGGATCGCGACGCAGGAGTTCGCGCGCGATTTACATATTCAAAATTCGATCACTGCGAATATTACGTTACGAACTAATGTTTATTTAAAATAAAAATAGAAAGTTTATTTTTTTATTGCAATAGGATTTATTTGATTAGACTGACTTTGTAATAGGTATAAAAAATCGTAAGACGTACTGCAAATGAAGCCTAAGTGAAGTGTGATGATAATAGGTTGTGAATAAATTATAAATAAAAGGTAAGTTTTGTCGTGAATTTAATATTTATTTCTATTGATTTGAACTTTAACCTGGCGTCGTAAGGTCGCAATCAGAATCATTATACTTAATCATTTTTAAGTTTTCATAATGCAGGTAACGTTAAAATTTTACCAAGAAAAATAATTAGGTACCGTGAATATTTCCTCAAACGTATTATTTTAAAACAAAGACAGATTTTCTAATAGGTATCTAGGTATGTGCGTCAAATAAGTTCTCAAGACAATGATAATGAATATAAAATTGCTTCCTTGCCAATTTACTTCAATCGTAGCTTATTTATATAACAATACACAGAATGGTGTACACAAAAACTTGAAATAAAATATTTAATGACATTTTACGGAGACGTTTTTTTCATAATTATTTTACTAAGAATGACATTATAATTCATTTTGTCGACAAAATTATGTTTAGTTTTTGGATAAAAAATTAATCGCATAAAAACTTGATATGAATTTATTTCATCGCATATGAATATATTTTTGTAAGTAACAGATATTTTATTTTGTAAAATAAATCACAACAAGTTTTATTTATTTATGAACAAAATAGGTACATATATATAGTAATATGAAAATGTTGCGTTACGTTATAAATATTTTATATTCTGACCGGTAATATGGATTTATATAATCCTTTGTTACATAATAATTCGTGCTAAATTAGGCGTATAATAAGGTTCAATATACGACAAATAAAATCAGTCTTTAAATTTATAATTTATCCTAACACACGTGAACAAACAAATAAATATTAACTGATCGTTTTAAAAATAAATTACGCAAATCAAATGCGAAATAATTCTATATCACTAACTATTCATCAGCGAAAACGCTGCCAGCTGATTCTTTTCCTAAAACCTTACCTCTCGTTGATCGTAGATGGGTAAACAAACAAAAGCTTTCATAGACGTCACACCTCGGTACAACAATCTGTGGATCATACAAATAGTTATTCCGTGCGGGAATCAAAATCGCAATATATTGAGCGCACAGCAGTAGCCGGTTGCTCAGTAACTACGCCAACCGTGCAGTCGAGCCTCAACAGATCAGCATGAACAAACGCCAAAAACGTTTGCCTGAAATTAAAAAAAAATCGCACCCTTTATATAATTAAAAAGCAAGCAGGCCCCATGGCTTTACTAAATAATAATGAAGTTTTATTTACACCGACAACGAAACAACACACGAAGTCATCAAGTTATTTATTTATTTATTAGGATTCTCATCAAAGAATACACTTGCATGGTATTATAATACAAATCTAAGTAAACATAATGCCTTGTGTTCGTTAAATCACAGAGAAATTGCATTCAAAATTGAAAACTAAAGATTTAAATATCTTTAATTAAGAAAAAACATCTAATGAAATCAATATTTAGTAAATTATTTAAATAACATTATACATATTTGTCCTTAAACTAAAAATACATAAAAAAGTAATAAAATTAATATAAAAAGCTTCAAATAAAAAAAAAAATTTTAGACCAGCAATTTAAATCTATTCACTTCAACATCAAGTAGTTTAACATAAGTGATCTTTCAATTGCACTTTGAATTTCGAAATTGATTTTAAAATTCGAATTTAAGGATATAAAGAGCAGAAGTGGCCCGGGGTTTATAAGTTTTTTCAAAACTTAACGTAGTCACCAGTGTGGCCTTTTCCGTGTTATATTGTACTCGCTGAGATTATTTTGACTCCACTGACATGCGCTATAGTATGGTAGTGTAGTTATGGCTAAGGAAAACTTCCTGAAGCGATCCTCATTAGAAGTGTAAGTTTAAAATCACCTATCGCCAATCGCTAAAGTAAGCGCGGTGATCAATGCTCAATGTGTTTTCGGAAGGCCCCTAGCTTTTTCTCCCTGGTGCCCACTAATAGGCTAATGATGATGGAGACACCTGTCTCAGAAGGCTCACAAAATTTACAAACTTTATATTTAGACCTCTTTATGTACCAAAAGCCAGACGGTGTCATAAAATACCTTATTGTGCCTCACTACAGATGCTTTGATTATTTGTACCACCTGAGTTAACAAAACGTGAATTGTATGTACATTTTACTATTCAATTTTGCCATAGTTTATACTATAACAGTCTATAACTATATCAAATATTAAGTAGCTAATATGGTAACTATCCTCAGTGGACGTATGATGAAACCGTGGGTCACAGCTAGTATAATTATTATTTACTAGCTATTCTCGCGCGGTTTCACCCGCTGCTTAGCTCTATTTAATCGTATCGTGATATTTTATAGCCTAGAGCACTCAAAAACATTGTAGCTATCTATCAGTGAAAGAATTTTGAAAATCCGACCAGCGGTTCCGAAGATTACTCCCTACATACAAACTTACAAATTTTACCTCTTTATAATATTAGTATAGATAAAAAGATTGTCTTTCCTGTTTGTGTGTATTTCTGGTTATCAGACTACTGGTTTGCCGACATATAACTTAAAAAAATATGCCATAACGTTTGTTATTTATTACTTTTTATTTAAAAGTATCTGCATACTGTTTAAGTATCATTGTATAATTATAAAAAACCTCAAAAGCAAGTCGGTGATTTTTTTTCCTTCTATACAACCATCGGTTAAGAACAAACAACAACAAATACACAGAAAAATTAAAATAAAACCGATAATCAAACATCGG